TTGTCAATTAAATTCCTAAACTTAAGCATTGTTGCCAATATGTTTATGCTACCGAATACGAAGCTCGAAGCGACTAAATCCAGACGGGCATTCCAACATGACAGGAGAAGTAAACAAATCCTAATGACATTCATCTACACCAAATGACACAAAACACAAACACAAACAACGAAAGCAAATCAAATCTCTGTTCTGCTCCAAACCAAACGCAGATCAGTCCACAAAGCAAGTAAACCAATGACAACCATCAAATCATCAAGAAGTTCCAATCTTTAAACAAAAATTCCATACAATAATAAAAACCCAAAACTCCAAATCAATAAAATATCCTAAAAAACACAAAAACCAGCAGAAACATACAAAATAAAATTACCATTTTTACAGATAAACTGATCGGATCAGAGACTTGGGTTTGCTTCTGGATCTACTCCCAGCCGTTCTCAACAAAAATCATCCAATTCCAGCAACCAAAAAGCTTCCAACTTCTCCTCCTTTCACTACAATTTTTGCCGATACTTCTTTCCAAAAAATAATTTAATAAAAAAATTAAATGAAAACTGAGAAGCTTAAACCCTTCAACAAACCCAAATAATTTGCAGAAGAGATTAAGCCCCCGCCCCTTCTGTTTCCTTCCAACTAGATTTTCTTCTTATTTCTCTCTGTTCTGTCGACTTTGGATTTTAATTTTTCGGGTCTCTGTAAAGTTTTATTAACATAATTGTTCCTATTAACGATTTAATTAACAAAATAAAACGCCTAATAAGTTCCCAAGTTTCCGAAAATGCCACTAGATCTTGACCGTAATTACGGAATTTAAGACACGGTCCCGCTGGAGTGCAAACAAGGCTTGTCTGAAAACTTTGACCTTAAATATCGAATTCCGGAGGCGGTAAACTCTCAATATTTCTCAATTTTGTCAACTTCTTTTCTTTTCCTTGTCTGTCAAAAGTTTTGTGAAAAGTTGAAAGTTGGTTTTTCCTTTATTAATTTTTGAATTTAATCCTAATTCATATATCGGTTAATACTAGATTCGATTTCTCTTTACGCATAAATGTTAATTATCTTTCTTATTGTATAAAAAGACTTTTGTTTGCTCACTCAGGGTATGCGCAGCATAAAAATAGATTACGTGATGGAAATTTTTTGTGATTGAGTGCACGAGTTGTATTTGTTAGAAGCAATATTCTTACGATTAATCACTTTAAAAATGTAGAATTTATCATTCATATGGTATGAATTTGTAAGAAATGTTATGATGAATATTGCTATTTTTGGTAAGACAAATATGTTAATTCATACAATTTTATCAAGGGTTGTTATTTTTCATTAAATTTTCTCCCCACCCCTACATTTACATTTTACATTTGTTTGGCTACCACTAAAATGCTAATACTAATTGTTTTGGGTATCTTCTCAACTTAAAGAACTTAAAAAAAGAGACTATATTTTACTTTGCCATAATACACTTTTGTAGGTTTGTTTAATATATAAATTTCGAAATCTATGCTTTTTCGTGATAATTTTAGGATAAATACAGTACTTTCAAGCGTTTCAACAAAAAATACAATGATTTGTAATATTTGATATCAAGTCATCCGTATAATTTTTTTGTGATATTCATATAGGTTTTTCTATGTGAGCTACATAAAATATACAAATATAATTCTCAAGTTCACTCATTGATTCATTCTTTTATGATATAGCTAATTAACTAAAACATTTCCAATGAAATCAGGTGAGATATAGACGATTTGTGAATCAACAATAAGTAATAAAAATCCCACTTCGATAAAATTTATAACATCATCAAGTTCAAGTAAGTACATATCTAGATCGTAATCGTATGAACTTATGATCTAGACTCTGAGAGGGTGCACAAGTTCTTGAACGTGCATGGGAATGGAGGCTAGCTTCGTAATAATAACTCAGTTTCGTGGGTAGTTATGGGAGGGGACAAATATTCGGCGTCCACAACACAACGGATGCAGAGACATCCAGATTAAGGTAAGATACTAAGATGGTGAACCAAGTAAAATGGTTAAAGTCAGAAGTTACTGTTAATTGCCATCTCATCGAATTAAGGATGCCACCCACCACGCGCCTTAGTCTTGATTGTCAACCTCCTCCTTGTTGCTGGTTTTCGTATTTTGGTTGATTGCATCAAATCTTTGTTTCATTTTTTGGTTAATTAAACGAATATATTTTTCTTTTCTTTAACAAAAAGTTACATGAAACGATAACAAACTAAGCATAAGAGCAACACGAAACATTTCTAAGTTTTTAGATTTATATTCGAATAAAAGTGACCTAAATAAATATTAGCATTAACCGTCTTTTTCCTCAATACTTTCGCTGTAAGTTTTCTTATAATCAATTTAGATGGATAGGACTCCTAAAACAATGTTAGATTTGAAGGAAAAGCTATGAAGCTAAGCTTTAGGTGAATAAATAATATATTATGAGGAATGCTACATAGACCCTCTCAAAGGTAAGTTCAACTGAGACTTGTTAATGTGTATATTTCATAGTAGCTTAATTTGTGATGACAAATTTTGACGCAAAAATTACACAACAAGTACAACTTGGACTTGCCTTTTAATGTATCAACTATTCTCAATAAATTTAAGATGCGTATTTTCATTGAATATGTGAAAAACCAAATGGCTCCTTGTTAAATCGCATTTTTCTTTCTAGTTTTAAAAGGGGTTTAAGGTTTGAATTTTCATTACCCACAATGCAAAGAAATTGAGAAAATTTGACCTTATTATTGGATTATTTTGTAAAATTAACATTTGCATTACTTTGTCATCCAATTGAATGATATAGATTATAGGAGTGTCAAATGGCATGGCACATTTTGATACGATCCATTTAAAGTCAGTTAACATCAACTTATTAGGAAAGTCATAATGGACCTGGATTGCAGCTTGTGCTTGGCTCATGTGAGTCATGAGCTTGGCTAAGCTTATTAGGCCTAAATTTTAGGTTCGATCCACCCAGTTCTTACGAATTGTGTTGTGTCGTATTTTTTTAAATCGATCGTGACCATACCATACTTGTGCCACCGCTCTATTTGGTTTGACACCTCTAGAATAATATATGAAAGAAGAGCCACATATTCTAAGGACAATAAAATCAGCTACTTAGTACTATACTATAGTAATATCATATTCACCTATAAGTAAGAAGTCTTGAGTTTATTTATCTTCAAAGCAAATTCAAACTGAATATTATGACTATTGGCTAGCCTATTTTCATACTTAATATAAATAATACCGTATATATTTAAGAAGGACAATAAAAACTAAATTAGAAAATGAAGACAATCAAATGGAGGGCGTGAAAATGTGAGCGTGGGCTAAAATTTTCATTCTTAACTCACTCGTGAGCACGTTTTCAGGACGTGCAAAACGAAAAATGTCAACATCAAATGGGGTCATCAAACCAACGGTGCAGATAAGAGGACCCACATGCGGTGCAACCACAGCCGTTGGACTGAAATACTGTTGGAAAAAGTGGACGGTAATGACCGCCTTGACAGACGGGATCAAATTAGAAGATTGCAATCATAATCATACTTTAAAGAAGTTCGCTTTATTTCCTTTTTTGTGGGTTGGGGGCTAACCGCCTTTTTTCTTTAAATATATATTTTTTTCTTTCTAACAAGCGACTGGTAGGTAGGAAGCACCGAACTCGAAATCTCAGGTGAAAAACGACAACTTCAACTAATTTAAATATATTTTTTTGTGTATTATCGGGCTATTACTAACCGACTATTGTAATTGACGAAAAGATAAATTCAACTTGGATGCAAAAGAACAAGCACACTACTCTTACAAATTGATCTAATTCACACATCTACTGAAGTTTGTCGTTTTAACATAAGTAAAATAGCTCAGAAAAATAGTATAGGCTAATAGATGACAAGTTCAAAACCTAATTGGATAGTGTTATTCACTCACCTATTTTTATATCCAACACATTCTTGTTAATTTTTAGTTATTAGTCGTCTTTAATTAATTCGATACGATGACCATAAATTGAGAAACATACGTAAAAAGTAAAAATCAATGTGTGGATAATTCCACCCTATCTAATTATTAATCGTCTTTAATTATAACTAGCTTTTATTTGTACAAATGAGTAAGAGGTCCAAAATGTAAAAGGAAAAACAAAATATTGGAAGGATAATAACGTAACGTCACTAAATTGAGATAATTTAACGACTGAGGTTATCTTTACAAGCAAAACTTTGCAACATTTTACTTCTCTATAAACTAATAATATCATATTGTGAAAAACAATATATACATAAAATGAAGTTAACTATATTTTACACTTCACCATAAACTAATAATATAATCTTGTGAAAAACAATATATATATAAAATAAGGTTAACTATATTTTACACCCTCAAAAGTTAGAGGGAATTTTAAAATTAGTCAATTTTCTCAAATCACCTGTGATTTTAAAGTTGTATTAGTTAACACTTTTTGTATATTTGAACGTCTAATTATTCATTAATCGATGAACTTTTTAGGCTATATAGTACAAATGTGGTTTAAATGTCAAACCAATTACGGTTTCATGCTCACTATGTCATAAATTTAACGAAGACTCAAATAACTCACTAGACGAAATGTATAAATTGTTAGTTTCAAAATCTAGGGGCAAAGTGAAAAAATTAAAACCACGTAACCCATTTTAGAAATCACCGTAAAAATGGAGGGTGCGAAATATAATTAGCATTATATAATACTATAATAGCAAGTTGGTGGGAAAACAATACGAACAAAAACATAAAACTCTTAGCTTTATATAAAGAAATAGGTTTTATACAATTCAAAGCACATTTTTATATCCAGATCCTTGTAAGATTAACTAACATGACAGCACGAAAGTTGAACTAAAAGCTGATTAATAATAATTAAATAATTAACTACTTTCATATCAAAATCTAAAACTTGGAGATGAAGAAAAGTTTGTAATCAAACGTGAGTAGGAAGGAACAAACCATTTCAAATTTTCCCTGCTAAATAATGAGGTACAAGAAATTCTCATGTGAGTTGATTAAAACATGGACTAAAAAATAAAGCTTTCCAGGAAGATAAGGGACAAGTTTATGCTCAACATTTTCAGGATATTAAGGGAAAAAGAAGAAGAAATATTAACAGGACTATCTCTATGTCGATCCTACCCCGATGCCATTTTGGTACAGAAGTGAGCATGCGTCGCGACTAGTTGGCTGTGTTGTAAGAAGGCAGATAAGACTCTAGAATCAATTGTGACGGAGAAGGTGATTGTATCTGAACAATCAAATACGTGAACTTCCATTGCTTGTCTGTTCCGTCTTTGAACATCTCCGCAAATACTTTCCCGGCTCCATGGGGTCCGCGAACATGAAAGTTAACCTGCGCTCAATTGGTAGAAGCACAAATTCAAATGAGGGTCTGGGAATCAACTTGTATTGCAAATAACATGGTGAAGTTGACAATAGGAAATCACCTCTACATGCTCTACGCCTTCTTCATCGTGCCATACTCTGTTGGGAATGCGTTGGCGAGCAGCACGGTTTCTACTTTCTTGACCGTATCCAGTAATAGGATATCCGACCCTCATCCTAACCTGATTAAGAAAAAAATCAGGGTCAGTCTAAGTCACAATATTCACAAACATACACACGAAGAGGATTATGTGCAAAATTGATCAGTAATTAATTCATGATTGGCTCATAAATCCCCTGAACTGCAGGAAAAAGACGCATTTCTCTCCCCAAGCAATTGTAGTCCTAATGTAGCTAGCACATGTATGGCGTACGGGATGAGGTGTTGACACATTTAATTTATACATTGATAGCCTTAGTTATGTAGCTCTTGAAGTTTCCAGTGTTGGACATAAAAAAAAAAAACCTGTCACCCAACGAATTTACAATATTTTCAAGGTTCACTGCCACTGTACAGATAAGCATAGTCTCAAGACTCCCAACCCCTTTCATGAAATCACGGTTCCAGGATTAAGAGAAATTTTTACACTTCTTTTAGACAAACAATAATGACATACTAACCTGTGCATCATCTTGAATCCTTTTAAGAGCCTTGTTAAAGATCTTGTACCTGCCAATGACCGTGTTGTCATTACAGAGTAATACTGAATAACTCAAATTTTCAATTTATGACAGAATCAAATATTTTATCTAGAAAATTAAAATAAGGTTTTTTTTTTTTTTTTTTTTTTGTCTCCTTACTCTTTTGGTTCAAAAATAAGCTCCTTGAAAACAGCATATCCTGCAGCAACAGCAATTCCAAGCCCTGCAAGAATGACAAGACTGTAGGAAGCTCCCTCTACAAACGTCACGGGCTTTTCTGGGATGTTGTATGTAGGAGCATCGAAAGGATCCTCTACAGTAGATACATCTTTCTTATTCTGGCAAAACAAATAGTTGACGAATTAAGAAACCAAAAGTTGAGGTTGCAAAAAGTATCAAGAGAAAAGCAAGTTTAGCAAGCTCAAGCACAGAGTCTTGAGGAAGTTAGTTGATACCCTAATGTTTCCATATAACACAGAATGAGATGCCTAGAAAAGCCCTTGACCTCTTCAACCTAATAATTTCTCTTCATCGAAGCAAGTGCTAGTTTCGGATCAAGCAAATAGATGACGGATCAAACCAGTCAACATGAATGATGTTTGACTAGGTTAAATCACCCAACCACAAACAAGCAGACAGAACACACATGTAAATTTTTTAAAAATCAGTTCAAACTAAAACCTCAGATGAACTTTGTTGCTGTTTCCGTGTAGCTTTTGATGAAAAGGATTTGCTAAAGAGAGGAATGGTGGTACTTGCTCCATAGTTTCTTGTGTGTTGTGACTGTGGCCAAGAAGCATGCATAAACTCTCTGGTGGGATACCTTCCATATAGAACAGGAATTCCTGAAAACATGATTGTATAAAACTCAACTGCAAATAATAAACTACTTGATAATTCAAAACAATAGGATCTTTCCCTACTCCCCATGAGTAGAGTGTGTCATTATACCTCAGACTTAAATACGAAGGCAAACTTTTGGCACCAAAAGCTTCCTGGTATTTATCCATAAACTATACGATACAGTACATACATGTACATCTAGACCCGAGAAAGTTTAACACCTCAGACTTAAATACGAAACTTTTGGCACCAAACGCTTCCTGGTATTTATCCATAAACTATACAGCATACATATACATCTAGACCCTAGAAAGTTTAACTAATGAACTTTTCCTATATAAGCTGTATATTCGAAGCTAGAAACTAAGGAAAGAATTAATGATTAGAGGAACATCATACTAATACTCTAATTGAAGTCATTTAACAGAAGACTTGATCGACCAAAAAAAGGTTATCACTGTAAGTAACTCTCTCACATCCCATAGTTGAAGGAAAACTATCTATGACGGAAAATGAAAAAGAAGCCAACCAGAGATTCTTTTGCTGACACTAACCAACAGAAGACAATTGAAATACTTATCCTGAGCACAAGAATTACTTATCAACTGTATGAGTTGGAAAAGCAGTCACTAACCATTAGCTCCGGCTATTCCCTGCAGAATTACAAGAAAACGAACATCAGCGAGCAATGTGCGAAAGAAACAGAATACTAAAACCAATATCATACAATTACCTCACCCTAGTCAAATGGCTTCCGGGAGCAGCAGATTGACTCGCAAAACCTGATCTTACTACTGCCAGCAACTGTACCACAACAATCAAACAGTAACTCAGTACATAAATTTCAACTCTTCTGAGTAAAACAGAAATGCAAATCAATCGAATCATATTAAAATAAAAAAACCTGATCTGCCTTGACCTCCTCCTTGTGGAAAGCCCTCTGCCCCCCCAATCTCATCCTGGGCAAAACCCTTATCAAATCTACTTGATTTTTCCTCAATAACTCCATTGCACACTTGTAGGATCCTAAAGAACCAAAAGGGTTGCCGCCACTAAGTCAGATGAAGATAAACCCTTTGAAGAACAACACTTGAAACATAAAGAGAGCTTTATTTCCTGTTTGGATGCTGAGAAAAATGCGTGAAAAAATTTCGAAAAGGGTGCATACCCATTACGAATGATGTTGGTTCAGTCTGGTCTCTCGAGGGTTGATGCCCAAAAGCTTTTTGTTCAGCTTCTTGTTCTGCTCAATCGTAAAACCCTCACGGCGCAAAGGGGATTTGTTATGGATCCGTAATAACGGGTCGGGTTAATTCGATTTGAAATTCACGTCGAGTTGAGTGGGTTAGAAGAAGCCTAGGATTGAGTTAGTGGACTTATTTTCTATAATGGGCCTCAATGCTTGGCATGTGGGAGTTGATTGGACCAACCATGTTTTAAGAGCAGTTCCAGCATGGTTCATTGTCTCTAAGGCAATCCACTATGATATCCATCCAATAAATAGTAACTGTCTTTAATGAACAATAATCGTCTTTTGCATCTTCACCTTTGCACTCAATAGCCCTGACAATTGGTAATAAAATATTAATATTTTTTTATTTATAAAATAATGTAAAATAATTTTATTTGTAATTTCGAATAAGATTTTTAATCGTTTTCGTTGCACCACATGTCATTATCCAAAAAGACAATAGCAATAAAATATTAGTATTTTTTTATTTATAAAATAATTCAAAATAATTTTATTCGTAATTTCGGATAAGATTATTTAATCGTTCTCGTTGCGCCACATGTCATTATCCGAAAAAGACAATTATTGGTGATGGATTTTTGATAAGATTTTTAATCGTTCTCATTGCGCCATGTGTCATTATCCGAAAAGACAATTATTGGTGATGGATTTCCAATAAGATTTTGAACCAATCATGTCATGCCACGTGTCACAATCTGTTTACAATATTTAAGGATAGATTTCCACTAGATTTTTAACAAATGACAGCATGCCACGTGGCATTATCTACAACATAATCATTTCTGAATCCTCCATATAATCCACCATCTATCCTCATAAATCTCACACCAATTTTCTCAAGATCTCTATCATTATTCATAGTTTCTGCTTCCTTATTCACCTAAACCTCAATCATTATTCATAGTTTTTGCTTCCTTCTTTACAATGTCTTCTTCTTCCTCAAGGATGATGTGGGAAATCGATCAGCAAGAGAAATAATTGTTTAACCAATCAGAATGAATGTTTAAACGCTAGGCGGCCCAAAATGAAAGGGAAGAGGATGAGGAGCGTAGACGGAAAGACGACGAATTAAGAATGGCAAGAGCCTCACATTCACGTCGAGTCATCCAAGCTATGGCTCAGATTTGCAGGCCTAGCCGTGCTGTAAACATTGATAGAAGCAGGCAATGACGAGGTCAGGATCTCTTGGACGATTATTTTGTCCGTAACAGTGCATTCCTTGATACATACTTTAGACGTTGTTTTAGAATGGAACGTCATTTGTTCAACAAAATCATGGGCACTGTTTGCAACCATGATTCTTACTTTGTGCAAAAGTCGGATGCTTTTGGTGCTATGGGTCTATTGCCTGAGCAAAAAATTACTGCTGCATTACGAATGCTTGCATATGGAGCATCTGCAGACCAAGTGGACGAGATAGCGAAGATGGGAAAATCAACCATTCTTGAGTCTCTGACGAGGTTTTGCTCGGCAATCGAATCTATCTACATCGTAGAGTACCTCTGGAAACCTACTGAGATGGACTTGCAAAGGCTTCTGAAGAAAGGGGAGATGCGAAGTTTTCCAGGGATGATTGGAAGCATTGACTGTATGCACTGGACTTGGAAAAACTATCCAAGTGCATGGCAAGACACTTATGGGGACAGAAAATGATCAAAAAGTATCATTTTGGAAGTGGTGGCATCTTTTGATACATGGATTTGGCATGCCTTTTTCGAGGTTCCGGGAGCTCAAAATGACCTCAACGTGCTTGCACAATCCCCAGTGTTCAACGATGTCCTACAAGGAAAGGCACCAAAAGTCACGTACTGGGTCAACGGACGTAAGTACGACGAGCCATACTATCTAGCAAACGACATTTACCCAAGGTGGGAAACATTTGTCAAAACAGTGCCACGTCCGCGAAGTGCAAAGGAAAAACACTTTGCAAGCTGTCAAAAGGGGTGCAGGAAGGATGTGGAACGTTGTTTTGGTATCCTCCAAGCTTGCTAGGTGATTGTTAGGGGTGTTGCCAGAACGTTTGATTTAGAGTCGCTTGGATCCATCATGATGACGTGCATCATTCTTCACAACATGATTATGGAAGATGAGTACGATTATGATGCCGTTAATGAATATGGGCCAGACACGATGAACAATTCTAGAACACAAATATATTGTGCTCATGACTCCACCGAGGAACCCGTGCAATACGAGCCATTAGAAAGGGATGGACGTTACAATGACAGGGTCATTCAACGATATACTGCACTTCAAAGGCCATATATGCACAATGCCTGCCAAATTGACTTGATAGAGCACCAATGGAAATTGAAACAAGCTGAAGATACTTAAGTTCATTAGTGTTTGTTTTTTTTTTTTATGTGTTTATTTAATTTTATGTGGTGTTTTTTTTTTTAGTTCATTTAGTGAGATTTTTTTTTTTTTTTGGTATGTTGATGTAATTTGATTTGGTGTGTGTTGATGTAATTTTATTTGGTGTGTTTAAATGTGTTTTGAATAAAGATTCTCTTAGTATAAATAAATTACCAAATTAAATAAATATACTCTTAGTTTAAATAAAGTACTAAATTCAATAAATTGAAAACAACATAAAGTACTCTATTCAATAAGTAAGAAATTACAACCCAAATTGATTGGAAAATTATGGGCTCCGGTTACAAACAAAGTGATTCGAAAATTATAGGTTCGTGAATGGATAATCATCACCTAACCAATTTGTGGTGCTAGGATGATTTTCTCTTGTCGTGCTAGGACCATTTCCTCTTGCTCTCGCTTCTCTTGCACGCCTCCTTCACACCACGTTCGCTTTCTCCGACTTCCAAAAATATTTAGAGTTTGGAGACTTCCCTTCTAAAGGCTCATTCACAATGTCACGATCTCGTTGGGCCATTCTTTCTTCTCTAACATGTTCCATTTCTTGCAGAAGTAGTTCTCTTTCTTTCTCATTAGCTTGAAATTCTTTCTCAATAGCTACAGCTTTTGCATCCTCTCTAACCTTTTCAGCCTCAAATTTAGCCATTTCCCAGGCCAAACTCAATTCACCTTGGCAGGCAAGTTCTTCCATATACTTTGCATAATCATTCTTGGAAGCATTACCTTTTCTCTTTGAAGCCTTCTTACCTTGTTGAGGTTTAATTGGAACCCCGATGCTTGTTCAACGGGGGGCGTTTCAGGCACTTCTTCTGCATCATCTTCATCATGATCATGAGGCATGATCGGGCATAGAGTGTAGATGGGTGCTGTTAAAGGCCACTTTTGGACCGATAGGCATAACTTTGAATTTAGGACAATCTTTGACAATATTCCAACACTCCCACTGGTTGAACGATTTGTTTTTGCTTGTGGTTTTGGCATTATACCAAACTTGTGCTTGAAGCTCCTACACAATGCGGGAAAAGAAATAATTATAATCAAAGTAGGTAATGTAAATTTGAGTATAGTACAAACAAATAAAAATTATATCGTTACCTGATCCGCTAAACTTTCCCCACTTCGAAGATTAGCACTAGCTTGTGCCAATGCGTCTCTCCACGTATTAAACGATTTGCTTAGTAGTCTCCAACGACTGGACAAAGATTCTTTGGTTCTTTTCCCAGCAATTTTCTCAACATAATTGGTATGAATAAGACCCCACATTTCTCTCAACTGCATCTCATTACCCGAAATCGAATCATGAGTAACTTTAACCCAGCTAGTACACAACGTAACATCTTCAATAAGCGTCCAATTTGTACCTGCATCATTAGCCATTTTCTTGGAAAAAAATTGGATTGAAACTTTGTGAGAAAGATAGGTATTTAAGAAAGTATGAAATTGGATTGAAACTTGACAATATATGAAATTAGATTTATAGAAAAGTAAATATATAAAAGTATGAAATTGAATTCAAACTTGACAATATATGTTGAATTTATAGAAAAGTAAATATATAAAACTATGAAATTGGATTCAAACTTGAATATATGAAATTGGATTGAAACTTTGAGAAGATATGAAATTGTGGTGTAAGGTAGAAGATAATGAGAAGGTATTTATATAAAAGTAAAATCAATTTATTTTTTGGATTTTTAATAATTTATTAAATTTTTATTCACCCAATTAATCTATACTGTTGGATTTAAACCAATTTGAATTCCAACACTCCAGATTGTTCCACGTGGCACAATGGTAACATTTCTGATTTTTTAACTGTTTTTTCTTTTTCTTTTTTAATTTTTAAAGTCTAAAGACGTGGACCGTTGATCTCAAATCTAACGGCTGGTATTAAATGAAGTTTTTTTATTTTTTTTTTCCGTTGGAGATCCAACGGTCCAAAATTTATATCCATTGTAATCCAATGATCGTGGGGAAGCCACGTGGCTCCCCAACAGTAAGATTTTTGAGTGTGCCGCAGCCCCAATGTCTGATTTTATGTTGGATTACGCGAGCCCATGTGCATTTGAAGTCCACGCGCCTGACAGAAAAAATAAAAAAAACGCGGCTGACATCTCCCTGACGTTAGCCCACGTCAGATGCCCATCAGGCACTCAGGCCAGCATGAATCCACGACCCTCTTGCTCGGGCTTGCTCCAGCTCCATTGCCAGCTTCCGTTGGACTTCCTCCCTCAGGCAATAGCCCACTGTTCCTCAGCTCGTCCCTCCAGCAACTCCTCCCACTGGAGCTACTCTAAATGGTTCTGTGTTTGGTATGTGGGAGTTCATTGCTAGACGATGATATTTATCTGCCAAGGGCTTGTTTAATAATCCGTAATTAAAATGAGGGGAATTTAATTGAGTAGGAGTTGGAATGAGGAGTCAGAATTGAATTCCTATTACAGTAGTTTACTAAACTGTTCTGGAATTGGAGAACAAATGATATTTGATTTCGTATAAGTTGTTTACTAACTACCTAAATCGGAATTAAAGTTAATATGATTACAAAAATACCCTTGTTTTAAATTATTTATTTCGTATACTAATTAATAAAAAAATCAAATGAATTTTTTACCGATAATAGGCCTCTTAATATAACACTAGCCTCTGCGCACGCACTACCATGTGTGTGAGAGACATTTTTGCATCACGGGCGTTACGCGCCCCTAAAGGTGTATTCTGTTAGTTTTTTATTCATTGTAATTGTTAAGATATATTTTAAATGTATTGTGCAAAGAAGAACTTTTACTTTACCATGCATATCATAAAAGGTTGCCATGTTTTTTGTTTTCACTTTGCATAAAATAATGATTTAAATGTTATTCATGCAATTGTCAAACAACATGAGATTTTGGATGCAAGTTCCTAACTAAAGTCCATGAACAATAGTAAGTAGATATAAATAAAAAAAGAGTAGATGAAAAGTACTCGTAACAAAATACATAACAACTTAAATGTCAAAATATAAAACCTACATCACAATATGTACATTATTCACAATACCCATAAAGTTTATATGTCATTGTTTCTTTTGAAAAGAAAGTTTACATATTGACATCAATGTTGCAATTTCCACCTATTTGTTCATGATTGATGCTTCATATTTTCATTGCAAATCTACAAACGATAGTGAGAAAATTAAAATAAAAAAAAAGAGTTAATTGATAAGTGAAAAATGCATACTGAAAGGTTATCATTAATAAATTTGTTACCTATTAGGAATCACCATAATTAGCTGGAATTAAGCAAGACTTCTTTGTATACTACATTCCGTGTAAATACTCCTTGTTAGCCTACTATGGAGCTATTTTTTACTAACACGGTTCTGGTTGACTTTGAGACCCCCATCGATAAAGCCACATATAATTGTCCATGACTGAAGACATGATCTAGAAGGTAAATGCCTACATGTGGTATTGTCTGACCTTGAGATTTGTTTATAGTGATAGAGAAACTTAGTTTAACTGGAAACTGCTTTCTTGTAAGTTCAAATGGAAGCCCGGCAGTATCAGTACTTTTGAAAGGGTTTCTTGGTAAGAAAACTCTGGATTCGACAAATTGTCCAGTTAGAATTTCAGTATCAATAAGATTTCGGTAAGAACCACGACACAATAATCTTGTACCATTACACAATCCCAATTTTGGATCAATATTTCTTAAAAGCATAATTGGAGCACCTCTTTTCAGAGTTAACTTATGCGAAGGCAAACCACCAAGTGAGATTGAATTCAAGAACTTTGGCTGAAACAAATTCCTTGTGTCATCCTCAACTGAATCAAATGAATACATTGTGTCTTCTAAACCCGAAAACATATTGATTATCTTTTCATTCAACATATCAATGTCTTCATTTGTAGGAGTTACTACTGCCCTTTCAACCATGTAGGTTGCATCATTTATATGATCCTCTAAGTCAGGGAAGATCTTGACAATTAATAGATTAATGGAATGCTCACTCTCTCATGGTATCACTATGCATTCAGGTAGATTTACCATATCATCAATAATAACATCTTCATTCCCATCATCAACACGAAGTAAAAATTCTGAAAATTCACGATCATTTATGGATCTCATGTTTTGTTTGAGTTTTAAAATCTTATATGTGACCAAAATGATGCTTTAATGACACTGGCTTGGATTAATTCGGACTGGGTTCATTTCTTGATAATAGGAAGAACTTGTTGAAAGTCTTCCCCAAATGGTAAGTCAATGTCTGTTAAGTCTCTGAACCTTCGATTAAGTGCTTCAAATGCATGACGATGCGTCATTGTTGCTTCATCCCTGATAATTGCCTTTGCCTTTTGTATTAGCTTTGCTAAATCAAATTGCTTACTGATCAAACACATCGATGATGCATCGAGACTAAATGGTATCTTGAATTTAGAATATGTTGTCCTCCCACCAGGCAATATAGTAGTTGCTATTCCAGATGATGTTGTTGCTAATACTATGTGCCCCAACCTTCTCAAGCTTGCTAACAATGCGCGATATAAATAAGTTTTTCCAGTTCCACCAAGACCATCCACAAAAAAAGTTACATTATCCGATCGTTGAACTGCACCCATTATTGTTTTAAACACACTTCTTTGGTCATCATTTAAGTGTTCGATTGCATCAAGATCTAAGATCTAAAGGAGAAGGGTATGAGCTTAGCCTCACAATGGGCTAGTAATAACATGGTTTAAACTCGCCTTTGGTGAGAATCGAACCTAAGACTTCTCCCTTACAAGTAAAGAGTAATACCACTGAATCGTAGTACTAAGTGGCTTATAAGAGGCTTTTAGATTGGGGTCTAGAAACATAATTCACTCTGTGATTTCACTGTCCCTTTTCCTTCGCCACCATTTTTGTTCACATAACATCTAACTTTGAACCAAAGCATTGAACTCAGTGAGATTTCTATTATATATTTTAGTAGGTTACCAGGTGAGCATTCTCAGCCACATGATTAAATTTGACAGTCAGCAAAAGTTGGGCATAAAAGTCGAACGGTAATGAAGGAAAATTGCATTTTTCATACCACATTTATAGCATCTCTCTAATAAGTACATTTCATGTTTAAGGAATAAACAACATATATCATTGAGACAAAATCAAAGTTATGAGGAACTGGTCTTTTTGAAATACTTTACCTTGGTAAAATTCCATAGGAAAACCCTCTTTAAGCAAAAAGAGGTCTCATATGCCCATAACACAACAAAAAAGCCATCAATAATAATGCAGTGTAGGAAAATCTAATTAGAATTCTCATGGGCTAGGTTTTGTAAATCCCTGTGGGCTTATAATTATTTGTACATCAAGCTAGCTAACTATTATATATTTATACTATTGTGATATCACTGATATTAAGGAATTGCAATCCTACATAGTATCACTAGTTTTAGGTTACCCTTTCCTAGTAAAACCCTAGCCTTGCCCCCCCCTTTTCTTCAACTATTTGCCGTCCCCCATTCAATTTTCTCTCAATTTTTGCTTTGTGCTGTGACCATCTCCTCTCCATTCCATTGCTCACTTTCTGAAACTCACCGATTCCAACTACCTTATTTGGCTTAGTCAGATGAAGTTAGTTGCCTAGTCAAGTGAAAGAGTTGTAAATTTGAAATCCTATTAAATTTTAACTCTTTGATTAGTGGGATCCATCACCGATAAATGTAAAAGAATATAATTATAGATTTTTATTTACATCTCCCAACAAAGATGAACCGTTTACATTCTGCCATTAAAGATTTTTTTAACAATTCAAATAGATGTAAAATGCCCATTATATAAGCTCAGAAATTTAGGCACTTAAATAATTTATTTCAGTGAGAGCCTACTCTTGTTCATGACCGTTGGATGGAAGAAGTAAAAAAAGAAATCAACAAACTAAACAAACAATATGTAAAGGATAAAAACAAAAAGAAAATAAAAGATAGTGTAGAAATAAGAAATTACAAGGGTTTTGGGTTTGACAAAGAAGCAAAAGGTCAAGCGAATGAGGTGTAAAGTTGAAATCTTATTTAAACTTAACTACTCTTTGATTTGTGGGATCCATCACGGAAAGATGTAAAAAGAATATAATTATAGGTTTTTATTTAGGTCTCCTGGCAAAGATGAATAGTTTACATTCCGCCATTAAAGAATATTTCGACAATTAAGAGATGCAAAATGCCCATTATATAAGCTCATAAATTAAGGCGCTTAAATAAATAATTTTTAGTGATAGCCCACGCTTATTCATTACTGTTTGACGGAAGAAGTGAAAAAAGAAATCAACAAACAAAACAAATGATACGTGCAAAGGATAAAGAGAGAGAGAGAAAAAAAAGAGTGTAGAAAAAAAGATATTACAAGGTTTCGAATTTTGAAAAGGAAGCAAAAGAGGGTTAAGTGAAAGATTTGTAAATTTGAAATCCTATTTAATTTTTAACTCTTTGATTAGCGGGACTCATCAGCGAAAGATGTAAAAAGAATATAATTATAGGTTTTTATTTGGTTCTTTCGGCAATGATGAATTGTTTAGATTCCACCATTAAAGAATATTTCGATAATGAAGAGATGTAAAATGAGAAATTTAAGCACTTAAATAATTTATTTCGGTGATAGCCTACGCTTATTCATGACCGTTGGATGGATGGAAGAAGTGAAAAGAAAAAAGAAATCAACAAATTAAACAAACAAATATGCACAAAGGATAAAAAGAAAGAAAAAAAAAGAGGTAGAAATAAGAAAGGAAGATGATTCTCTTTCATCCTAATCTCTCTTCCATTCCCCCCTCATATTTGAACGGTCACGATTAAACCACGTTAACATCTTATATTGATTTTTTTTATAGAGATAATAAGATAAAAACAATGTGTGAGAGGAAGGGAGGTAAGACCTCCTCCAACACTGGGCTAAATGCCAAATTACCCCATTTATTCCCCCCTCCCCCCCCCCAAAACACCACCCAACCCAAGCTAAAACATTGGGGCAAAAGCCAAATGCTAAAGTAGGGCCAACTACCCCCCCCCCCCCGAAAACGAGTGGACTCACCTACATTTGGGCCACTCTCGCCCCGCCCACTCTCCGATGCGCCCCACGCGGCCCGCATCAATTCAGTTCTCAACAGGGGGCCCATTGTCAGGGCCCTTGTCGGCCACTTCCCCAAGCCCAACGATTCTTTTCCTCATCGAACGACCACAATTTAAGGACCGTTGGTTGGTCCAATGGTCCGGATTCAAATTTTATTTTTTAAAAATATGTTATTTTAAAATACATTGAATCTAACGGCTGAGATTGAATATAATCAAATCTAACGGTTAAAAAAAAATCTAACAGCCCAAATTTAAATCCAACGGCTAAAATAATTAAAAAAAATAAAATACCTATGTATTTGTTCAAACATCCACACAAAAACTCATTTTTCTCCTACAATTTTTCCAATTTATCTTTCTACCATTTCTTTCTATTTCCAAATTGTTCAACCTGGCAAGAGAGCATATTAGAGGTCGTAATTGGACTTGTGAGGAAGATGTTGCTTTATGTTTGACATGAGTTTCTGTTAGCGAAGATGGTATAGTTGACACAAATCAAAATAAAAAGGTTTTGTGGGATAAAATCATTGCAAAGTTTTAAGAAAACTGCAACGGCGGCGGCAGGGGGGGACGGTGGTGATGTTTATGATCTATGGAAGACTATCAACAAAGCATGCACTTTATGGAATGGAAGCTTGAAGAGAGCCGTGGTTGGCATGGCTAGTGTAAGGAGAAAAACTTTTGACAAAGGTAGACCAACTAGGATAAATACCATCAGTTAGGTAGTGACCTAGCTCATACATATTACCATTTACCTTGTAACGAAATTCTAGTGCCCATCCATTGACAATATCATCGAATAGAGGAGAAGACCAAAAAACGTTGATATTGTTGTTTGATCTGGGATCGCCGAAGAAAGCAAGCCAAATCCATGTGTAGTAAGACACCATAGCCTCGAGCATAATGGTTGACTTGTTTATGACGGCCTTTGAATTGGCCAACCGAAGCAGTAGGACAATTCTTCCACTCCCAATGCATACAATCGAGATTTCCTATCATGCCAGGGAAGCCTATTTTGTCTGCCTTGAGTAGAAGCCTCTCCAAGTCTTTACGATTTGGCTTGCAGAGGTATGTGGCTCTATATATGGCTTGAATTGCCTGACAGAAGCGCTTCAAGTTCTCAATAGCAGTACTCACCGTAAGTTGGCAATACTCGTTAGTTGAGTCTGCAGAGCACCCATTAGTTAGCATCCGAAATACAGATGTAAGCTTCTGATGAAGTGATAGACTTTGTCGGCCTACGACATCAATCTTCCTTGCAAAGTAGTGGTCATGATTGACAACTACATTTAAGATGCTTTCAAAAAGCTCTATCCTCATCAGAAACCGCATCCGAAAATCATGAGCAAGAAATCTCGGACGCTCGATGAAATAATCTTTCATCATTCGGTCATGACACTTTTCTCTATCAGACTGCACAATTGAACGCTCCGTGACAGAATCACGATGGCTAGATTCGCCATGGTGCTTATATTGCATAAGCGAGTTTACAAGTTCAGCTTCGGCATTGATCAATTATGCATCCTCAATGTTAAGCCTTGTTTGGTATTGTGCCATCTGCATTGCCCTGCTACGCCTTATTCTATCACTCGTTGATGAGATATTGAAGATTTTTAGGAAACAAAAACTCTTTCAAAGTTGAAATATTGGTGAATATAGAGAATGATTGAAGGTTGAAAGATTGTGAGATCAACTAATATTGGACCTGTGTTTATATAGATGATGATTGATGAAAGTTGATAGGTTGGTGAAAGTTGAAAGTTTGGTGTTGAACGGTTGGTAAAAGTTGAAAGATTGGTGAAAGTTAAAGGCTTGCTTTGTGGA